CATACAGTGAGTTAGCTGCAGAGTTGGGCCAGAACCCAAGTCTGCTGAGTACAAATCTGGGGCTCTTTCTACCACTGCATGTGAAATAAAGAAAGCAGATCTCTGTGATGTTCCGTGTTGGAGCTGTGGGTGGAACAGGGCAGATGTGGAGGTACTTGAGGAAGGCAGGACTGTTAAGAGGCTTGTTCAGTAACCAGTATAAAAAAGATGGGTTTTACATTCATAATGAAAACTCAAATGAAGCATTAAAGTTTAAGAGATACCATGGAGAAATGCAGGTGGCTGATTGTATATATTCTCTTAAAGGGGTTAGATGATTCTAAGTTCAGAGAAGAATGAACATCAGCTTAGACTGGAGAAAAATACTTAGTTTGGTAGGTCAGGTGGGTTAAAGTTGAAGGCCAGAAAAAGAATGGGGGTAGTTAAAAGAAAAAAGGAACATTTTATTTTGACTGTCTACTGCTAGGCACTACCATAGTTGTTTAGTATACATATCCATTTAGCCACTAATAGCTTTGGGAGGCTGGTATTATTATTCCCATTTTACAGATGAGAAGGATGAGCTTCAATATTAATAATTTTCCTTAGATCACACAGGTGGATAACCTTGCTGAAAAGCCAGGATTTAGAATCAGATCTTTTCTTTACACTAGACTACAGATATAAGAGAAATTAGAATAAACAATTTGTATAGCTTGCTCCAGAGCTGTAAATAACTAAAAAGAGAATTTGGACAGAAGAAAAGAACCCTCTTTGGGGTAGCTACAGAGTATTTTAAAGATGGATGTCTGAAAGACATCTTCCTCAACTGGAAGACACCAGTATTCACAAAATCCCAGAACTCATGTGGTTCACAGATTCTTTAGCACATCAGGGTCTCCTGAAGGGCATTTTCAAACTGCTTGTGACTGATTCCCTCACTGGAGAGGCTGGGTCGGTAGATCCAGGCTAGGATTTGGGAGACAAGCAGTAAAATCTGGTTTATAGGCTTTTTTCAGCTTCAGGAAAGCTTGAGGGATTGAACCTCGGTCAAATCCCCCTTGCAACTAATCTCCATAATTGATGAGTAACCTATATTTGTTGAGATGCAGCTATACCAGAAAAGGGGTGCTAGTCACACACCTGGAGGAGGCTATGTGATTGTCAAGACGCAATGCCTGTGGAAACTCAGAGCTGAAGTTTTCCTCACTGAGGTGGCCCACATCCACTCAGTGCTCTCTCTAGGCCATGCGCATCCCAAGTGTGGAATGTGGGGTATTTAGAAGGCATGCCTGGGAGTCATGAGACCTCCACTGTACTGTCACTCTGCATACTCAATAAAATTGACTCTGGGTGATTTCATGACTTTGCCAATCTGAACTTAAGACCACTACAGCTGGTCAAGCAGAAAAGCCCTTTCAGGGTGTGAAGATGTGAATTTTGAAAAAGTTACCCCAGATCATTCTGATGTACACCCTCAGTTGGAAACAACTGTTCTAGACCAATGGCCTCTTTTTGTACATGAGAAAATAGGTTCAAGAAGGTGAGCTGACATGCAAAAGCCTTCATAATAATTCTGGGACAGAGTCAGGACTGCAATATATCTTCTACACACATGCTCTGTGGTTTTCTATTGAAATAATCGAAGTTACCTGGAGCCATATTTCTCAAATTTATTCTGTACAACACTAGTCCCATGAACCACTCTAATAAATCAGGTTTTGCATGGTAGAATAAGTCTAATTGCTGCATACCATATTACCCTGTCAAAGATTTCCGCTATACTAAAGGCTCTGAGAAGTTGTCTACTTAATATATTTGGCTTCATTTAACTCAGAGTTACCCAAAATTATTTGAACATGGGAACCTCCATTTTTACAGCTATTAAATGTCTCATTGAATAGTACCTTGACAAAACAAACTTTCAGAATATCTGACCTAGAGAAATATAGATCAAATAAAGGAATCAGTAATAACTGTCTTCAAAGCTGCACAAACTAGACTGTAGACACTACATGCACTTGTTATTGTCTAAGTTATAAACAATTTGCACCAAAATTTGTAGTAATGTAGATTGTTATTAAGATTGTGTTATCGTTGTGACTTGCTTTGGGAGTTAGGGGTTTTCTTTCCTGGACCATGGCTATATGAAAAAGCCCCAAGCCCTTAGAGGTTGGAACTGGAAGCAGATATCTGAAAGTTAATCAAAAGCTGAACCACCACAACTGTGTCACAAACTCTAGGTTGAATCATCCATTTGATTATGGGGATTAAAGGAATT